TTTAGCGCTACAATTCCCATTATTACTCTAAAGAAATTGACATTGGGTTGGGAAGGAATTAGACCCCAATGGCAGAGCACAGCCCTAAGGAGTGGGTGAAGGGGGAATCGGACTCCACCCTTTGTGATTGACAGGAGAGGGAAGACGATCGTGGTTTCGTCAGCCCTCTCCATATCGAGGGTGCCATCTGTCACTAGAGACAGACGGACGTCATCAGGAATGGAAAAATGGCATCAGAAGCTAGAAATTTGATCCGAAAAGAGGAGATCTTTCAAATGTTTTGTCATTTTCTTCATTTTATAGATATATTCTAAACTAAAAACAAACCAGGAAAAAGGATTTAGAGCAGAGAGGGAGAAAACTTACCAGAGACGAAGAAGATTGTGAAACAAAGGAAGTTGCAGAAATAGTTTGGAAGGAAGGCCAGCAACAAGTATCTGAAAGTGTATGTATTTGAAAGGACGTCCAAATTTTAAATCATAATAAATAGAAGTGTACGGCGGAAAGTTGAAATGATAACCGAGAAGCGTGTGCTCAGACATCTGCATTGGAATGAAGTCAGACGTCGAATTTTGGCCTTGACTTTTCAAGTTCAAAACCAAACACTCCAACCAACTGTCATTAGTGGGGTGTTTGGGGGGCAATTGTGAGGGCCAAATAATGGGGATCGCAAAGAGGCCAAATAGATGAACTTGGAAAGCTGGAATATAAATATAGTATTCGGCTTTGCCCCACATATTCGGCCTCGTACCCTATTCAGTCGAAAAGCCGGTTGGGTAAGGGGCCGAGTGAAAAACAGCCTGCTGCGAAAGGGGCCGAATGCCGAATTGAAAATGGGCCCAATCCCAAGGCCCAAGAAAGAAAAGATATAAATAGAAAAACATCAGCCAGAAAGAGGTATGTGAGAACTATTATGCTTAACTTAGAATACAAGCAATCTTGAGTGTAGAGACTGACTTGCCCGTCGGAGTGTTAATTCTGGCACCCCCGACCGCAGTGTTTATTCCTTTTCAGGTGACTAGCAGAAGATCACGAGCGTCCCTTAGGATCTGAAGAGTATTTCCAAACCACTTCTCCACAGGTTGAGGTCGAAAAAAATATTTTTTGATTTAAATAAGTCAAAAAAAAGTCATGTTTATCTTCAACTAAAAAAACTATTATAAAAAAGGTCATTTTCCCACTAACAAAAATATAATTTGTTTGCAACTTCAAATTTTTTTTAATATTTAAAAAAAAGGGTTAATTACAAAATCAATGTTAAGGTTTTACGCAATTTTTACTTTAAATCTTAATATTTTAATTTCGACAAATTAAATTATAGAGTTTCTTTTGTATTTCAATTTGTCTCATTTGTCCATGTAAGGTAATGGAGGGGGTTTAAAGTGAAAAATAATGAGGTTTAAAGTGAAAATGCATTAAATATTAGGTTTTTTTTGTGTGTAATTAACCATTTTTTTAAAATTAAAATCACTAAAAATAAAAAATGGTTAATTACAAAATAAATCCCAACATTTCACATGTTTTTTACTTTAAACCCTAGTATTTTTACTTCAAAGCCCATCCGTTACCTTATACAGACGGAAATGGATGGAAGGAACAAATTGAAACACGGATGAAACTTTATGATTTGATTTGTCGAAATTAAAATACTGGGATTTAAAAACGTTTGAAATCGTGAGTGTTTTTTTTTTTTATTGTAATTAACCCTTAAAAAAATAACTAAAAAACTAAAAAGAAATTATAAAAAAAAAATCCTAGGGTTTAGTCCTTATAACAAAACAAATCTTAAATTTATAATTTTGTCAATTTAAATCTTATTTTTTTTAAATTTTCAATTTAAATCATTTACCTATATTTATTAAATAAAATCAACGAAAAAATATATTTTAATTATTAAACTCAATAAAAATGTTATTTTAGATATTTCATAGACATTTATATTGAATTTAATGGCTAAAATACTATTTTTTTATTCAACTTTATTTGATAAAAATAGACAAATAGTTTAGATTCAAAACAAATAAAAAATATTAGGATTTAAATGAATAAAATTAAGAATTAAGAATTTATTTTACAACACTGATTGGTGGCCCGAAAAATTATGGCTTGAATGGCTCGAAATATTCAAAACGACGTCGTTTTGTGTATAAAATGACATCGTTTTGACACATTCGAGCCATTCGAGTTACAAAAATTCAGACTACCAAACATTTTCCTTTATTTTATTACAAACATCAAACCTTGAATTTTTTTATTATTTTTTTTCCAAAAAGTAATTATCAAACTCCACCTTTGTAAATAGGCTAAATTACAAATACGTCACTTGAGATTTTGGAAATTACAAGTAATTATCTCCTCATGTGATTTTGGAAATTACATTCCACATCTTAAGGTTTCTAATTTCATAACAAATCAACTCTTTTATTAATAAATCATCAAGTCAATTAGTAGTTTTTAATAATGTTAGAAATATGTTTTAATTAATAATTTAGGTTTTTTTATTATTGTATAGGAAAACAATTATGAAATTTATTTTTTTAATTAATTATGTTAAATAAAAAATTCTACCAAGGGAATATTTACAATTTTTTAAATTACAAGAGACAATCTATTTTTTAAGAAAATCTCAAAAAATATATTTGTAATTTATTGTCGTAAATATAAAAGTTTATTGAGCGATAATAAGTAAATATAAAAGTTTATTGAGCGATAATATAAATGTCTAGACCGTGCCGCACTAAATATATACAATATGACTATTGCTATTCATTCCTAAAAATTAAACTCATATTTTAAATTTAGTGATGTTATACTATATTAAAATATTTAACTCAATTCTCTCTTTTTATTTATTTTTTAATTATCAACCAATTATCTTTTTAACATATCACTGAATTAAAAAAATGAATATAAAAAGTAGATTTGTATATCATTTTTCATACAATATACCTCATTTTCAGAATAAAAAAGGGAATAGAATTTTAGGCTTGGTTTGGGGATGCTCAAAATAAGTTGTTTATTAACTTATTTATATCACATCATCTTTCTAATTTTTCACATATTTTTTTATAATAAGTAAAAAAATTAAAAAATAAGTCATACCCAAAATAACTCTAGTATACAGGAAGTGGGGACATTGCTGCGTAGCCCGCGCAACAGCGTCTGCTGTGCGGTGATTTGGGCCCATTTCGGAGCTTATTTTAATAATTCGAACCGTTCACATTTTAAAATAAGTCGAGTAGAACATACCTGCAAAAAATCAAGTTAATCGGATATCGTTTACCTATTCATCCACTCATATTTGTATTAATTTTAATCAAGCTAAAATACATTTGTATTTATTTTTGTAGATACAAATGTGAGTGGATGAATACGTAAACGATATCCGATTAACTTGATTTTTTGCAGGCATGTTCTACTTGACGTATTTTAAAATATGAACGATTCGAATTATCAAAATGAGCCCCAAAATCAGCTTAAATTGCCGCACAGTAGACGTTGTTGCGCGAGCTGCGCAGCAGTGTCCCCATATCCTAGTGTACATAGGCTATGCTTGGTACAAACATTTGTGGCTATTTTAGTCACAAAAAGATAAAATAAGTTAAAAAATTAAAGACAAAATATCACATCAAAACTATAATCATTTTATTTTTTTTCTTAAAAAATTCAAAAAGTCAAAAAGTTCATCACAAATGAGACTTTTTAACCCCAGACTAAAATAGCCAAAAAACCAACCCATATCCCAAACGAAGGCATAGTATTTTCTAATAATCACCTTGTTTGTTTCCAATTTCCTGAATTCAATTTTCTAAAAATTGAGTTTTTTATTTTTTGTATTTTTTTATTTGTAAAGATTTTTTTAATATTTTAAATATATATATATTTAAAACTTTTTAGATATACTCAACATAAATACAATCAAAAAGTATAATATTTGTGATGTTTTTTTAAAAAAAAATTATTAAATACCAAAAATATAAATATAAAAAACAAAAATTCAATACATTTTTGTATGTTGTGTATTTATTAATTCTTTAAAATATTTTATTTTTTAAATAAATTTAGGTTATGTGCATCTAAAAAGTAAATTTTAAAAAAAATATATTAAAAATTTTTAAAAAAAACACAAAAAAAAAAAAAAAAAAAAAAAATTAGGGGGACTTAGGTGGCTTTTGATTTAGAACTCAAATCATGATTTGGATAAAAAAATTTCAAAACTCATAATCAAACACTCATTTAATAATAGACTATTTTAGTAACTTTTAAACTTTTTACGAAAAGATATCCAGAAAAATAAAAAAAGTGATGTAACAACTTATAATGACTTTTTGATTAAAATTGAAAGTTGTCAATTCAAAAACTCTTTTCAAAACTCTATTTTAAAAAAAAAATCAAAAAAACTATTCTTTTATTTTGTTATTTTTTTAAGTATGGACCAAACAATTTGTTATGATTTAGAATATTTAAAATATTTAAAAAATATTCAAAAAATATTTAAAATATTTAAAAAATAAAATATATATTTAAAATAAAAATTATATATGTAAAATATTTTTTTAATTTTTAAATATTTAAAGAAATACAATAATAAATACAACACATTAAAAAAATAAATAAATATTTAAATAAAAAATATTTACCTTAAAAAAATAAAATTAATAAATTTTTAAAAAATAAACCAAAAAAATTTTAAAATACAACTCAAAACTCAACTTTTTTCAAAATTCATAACCAAACAAATTTTTTATTTTTAAAACTAATTTCAAATTTTAAAACTCAAAATAAAATTTAAAACTCAAATGATGATTCAAAAACTAAACCAAACGATATATTAATTTGTAAAAAATGAAATGCAGGAAATTAGAACCAAATAAAGTGAATATATATATATATATATATTTGGAGTTGAGAAAGAAAAGATTTCATTACAAGAAAATTGACAATCACACATTATTATTCATTTTTGAAATTCAAAATAATGGTATAGTCCCGTCCAATCAGCTCTGAAATGTAACAAACAAAAAAACTGAAACGCTCGCGAAGTTAACGTCCCTTTCTTTCCAAAACCAAACGGCTCTCTTATTTCCATATATCCATCTTCATCGACTATTATTCTTCTACTATTCATTTCCCTCTCAAAAATTCATCAATCACACCCCCCAAAACCACTTCAAAATCCTAGGGTTTGTTCGTTCGAACCATTTTATCAATTCACAGAAACTCCACCAACTTCTCACCTGAAAAATCACTCTTCCTTCACCGATTCCGGACCGCTAAAGTTCAGTGACTACGTCGCTTAATCAGGTTTGTTTTTTCTAAGCAATAGTTTAATTGTTAAAACTTGAATTTTGAACTTGACATGCTCTGTTTGTTTCTGTTTGGTTGGCGAGAAAATGGAAGAAATTAGAAGGAAAGAAGAGATTCGAGTATAGTGTTGGTTTTATTTGGCTGTGAATATAAAAGTCTAGTTTTCCGTTTTGTACTTTTGTTGGTAACCAAACAGGAGCATTAGTTGAAACTTGATATTTCTTCTACTGGAAAATCAATTTGCTTTCATATAGTGCCTTCATAGGATGTAGTTTTATGATGATAGTTAGACGTTTCTGTTAAAGCGGCAATTTATGTTTTTCAACTGATATTTAGTTTAATCAAAACTGAAATTTTGAACTTCATGCTCTGTTTCTGTTTGGTTGGCAAGAAAATGGAGGAAATTAGAAGGAAAGAAGAGATTCGAGTATAGTGGTGGTTTCATTTGGCCATGAATATAGAAGTCTTGTTTTCCATTTTGTATTTGAAACTTGATATTTCTTCTTCTGGAAAATCAATTTGCTTTCATATAGTGCCTTCATAGGATTTAGGTTTCTGATGATAATTAGATGTGTAGGTTGAAATGGTAATTTATGCGTTTCAACTGATATTTTACCGTGAATCTGTGATAGCCATCTCTGTCTCCACATATGAATGCTAGTCTGTCTATAAAGTCATGGAGGTGATATACTTCTTTTTATATATATTTTTTAATTCAATTATTCTAGCTTACTTCTTGATTTTGTTTGTTTTGGTGGTGGTGACGTGGCTAGTTTTTCTGTCTCAGCAAGAACAATGTGTTGGGTTCGATAAATGAGATACTTAATACAGGCAAGGTGTTAGATGTGAATTTTTACTTAATTGTCCTTGTGCAATATTATTACAATTTTAACTAGTAAGACCTGCTAAGTCACCAATATTTTTCTAAAAGTCTTTGCTGTTAGGAAATGGACCCAATAATGTATATAAAGCTATTTAACACCCTCCCTCACGTGCAACCCCGTTTTGCACGTGAAGAGACAAACAGAGAACCAAACAGAAGGAGAAGCAAACAATCAAACAGAGAGGAAGGAACCAAACAGGGGCTTACTACCAAATGCAGAGACTTGAACCTAAGACCTCTCTCAACCAAAGCTCTGATATCATGTTAAGTCACCAAATGGGCCCAACAATTTATATCAAGCTGTTTAACAATGTGAGCACTGAGCATGTTCCATTTTTACTTACTTGAGTGATTAGCTTGTTAGGGGGAGGATTGTGCAATCCCCTTGTTCAATGTTCGTAATATCTAGGCAATATGTATTAGTCTCGTGAGGTTTTGATATGGGATTGCTGGTTAAAAATGGCCATGTACTGGTAAGTTATCATTCATGACCTCTTACACATTAGTTTTAGCTTTAATTTGTCTCTGGCCGTATCACTATAGCTTCAATGTGTCATCCTTTTACATTGTAATTTTGTGTCAACTTTTTAAAATTACGTTGTCATCCATCTACTCTTGAGAGCCCTTTATGCAAGACATGTAGGGACAATGCTGGATTTTGAAAACAGATGTTATTTAAAGGCCTAAACAGTGAGTAATTTAGTATTTTAAGGGTTAAATTGAAGGCTAATAAGTAAGGGAAAGGATTAGAGTTGTTTTGGGGGTGATTGGATAGAGAGTTTTAGGGTTGAAAAGTGCACTTTTAGAGGGTTGTGAATAGTAATCTGAGAATAGAAAAATTGAAACAAAAAAGAAGAAGAAAGAAGAGAACAAGATAGGTTTAGGAATCACTTCTAAAATCCCTTGGACATCACACCTAGGGTTTGATTAGGTCACATAAATCCATAAAGAAGCTTCAAAACTCTCAAATTTTTATAAAATATCAACTTTATTAGAGTATAACTATGACATGGTTATATATTCTAAACCAACCATAACCAACAAAGGGAACTACTATAATATCTTTAACTTTCAAAACTAATCTAAGACTAAATATGAAACAAAAACAAAGACCAACTAAATAACTTGACCCACAAGACGACCCACACAACCCATATTAGGAAATTTTACAAATTACCAAAATACCCTTAACCTTAAAAACCATAGAAATGTAAAAATAATCATAAAATAGAACTATAAAGAATGGATACCTCTCCGGATGCAACGTATGGGTGTTCGACATGTGTCGGACATGGACACATGGCGGACATGTGTCAGACACCCTGTGTTACGTGTCTGGATTTTTTTTCTTTTTTTTTTTCAGTCAGACACTTTGTGGACACGCTCAGACACCTAAGAGACACTGCGGGGAGAGAGAGAGAAGAAATCGCCCACCCGTAAACCCTAGTCAAAGCTGTCGAAGCTTTTGAAGGCCTTTAATGAAGCAATCACGGGTAGATTTCTCTCTCTGTCTCTCTTCTTTTCTTCATCTCTCTTTTCTCTTCTTCTCATCCTCTTCGTTCTTCTCCCCTTCTTCTGTTCTAGTTCTTCTTATTCTTCTTCTTCTTCTTCTCTTTTTTTCCTTTCTCTCTTTCTCTCAATGTTTTCTCTCTCTCTCTCTCTCTCTCTCTCTCTCATTTTTTTTTCCCCCCCTTTTATAAGGTCAGACATTGGATAACTGAAAAAAAAGGGTGCAACCCCTCTATTTTTCAATATTCATCTTTGGCCCTCATTTAGAGCAAATTAATTTTATTTGAAGAAAAAACAAATTTTTTGAAATTGCTGAATTTATTTTATTGGGTAAAGTGCTGAGATTGATTAATAGATGATGGCTGGCTGTATATATATATTTAAAATATTTTTTGATGTTATTTTGTATTTTTTATTACTTCTCTATTTTTTTAATTTTATAACATATAACAAATAAATAAAATTATATATTTCGAGCGTGTCTCCCGCGTGTCGTGTCCCTTATTTTTTTAAAATTTACGTGCTTGCGTGTCCGTGTCATGTCATGTACTCGTGTCCGTGTTCGTGCTTCTTAGGAAACATGATTATGTATGGTTTGGTTCCTATTGATTTCTCTTTGAAACCATTCCAATTTCTAAATATCACCGCTTCTTTGAATTTACTCTTCCTTGAGCTTCTTATATTCTGCATCATTCTCCATTGGTTGGAAAAAACTCAACCATGAGTTTTGAAGTGTTGAAATATAAGCATCCACAAGCTTTGAAATTGCATCCATGGCTTCATGTTAAAATCTTTAAGTTGTCACCGCCTTTTCTTTGTTGGAGATAGGAACAAAAATATTGAGAAATTGATCTTGTCCTTCATGATATTAAATATGTCAGGCATGACAAATTCAATAAAAGGAATTGAAACATTCTTGAATTGATCCAAATTGGGGGCTGCAAAAGTGATTCTGTGCGTTTTGTTCTCATTTGGCTCCACAAGTAGTGTTTGCAGTTGATTTGAATACTTCCACCCACACCATTAATTGTGGATTCCAAACTCTCATCGCCTTTGTCAACCAATGTTCCATAATGCAGTTCAATATTACCATCCCTTTGGAAAATATCAGTACACCTATTGGAGAGAATTTAGGCAGTAAATTGGTGACTTATAAGGCCATAGTAGGATCAGCATCAGCAACTTGTTGCTGTAATTCTTCAATCCCTACATCTTGTGTGGCCTCCGAACCTTCTATTTGGACAATATCCATAATTGTAGGCTCCGGAGACAACTCTCTGGACTCTAAATTAGGCTCAGCTAGTAATTTATTAACATCTAAAGACAAATCTGGTTCTGGACCAGCCACTTACTCCTTTGACTTTGCAATCATTGCTACTGCAACACCTAAAATATTGGATTCATTGCCCTGTTCTCAAGACTCTTCAACAGCAATTACAGGGGATTGTTGGATTTCTTCTGAATCATCAATAATTGTTTTTTCATTCTTTGAAATCTGGTCACCTTTCCCCATGGCAAAAGTTTGCTTGTCATCCACAAAATCTATCTTGGAACATACAGAATTTTGGTTGACGAATTTCTTCAAAGTTGGTGCCCCTTGTGGTGTTTTTGATTCATCAATCACAGCCTCATTATCCTTCAAAATCTGGCCATCCTTCACCTTTGGAAAATTCTGAACATATTCATTGGCTTGCAACTTCAATTGTGTAGGGTTTTCATTCCTAAGAACAATATTCAGCTTTGGTGCATCTTGTTGTGGCTTTTTAGCATTTTTTTGTGGCACTTTAGCCTTTTGTTTTGGAGTTTCTGTTGGTTTCTCTTGCTGGATAGTCTTGCATTATACGTAGGCTTCAAAACTGTAGATTTCTCCTTAAATTTTACAAAAAACTTAAATTGTATAGCCGTTTCAATAGTATCTTTGAGATCTTCCAAATATGCATGAAACATCTCTTTTTTAATTTCAAATCTCAATCCACTTTTGAAACAAGCAATAGTCATCCGGTCACTTTCGACAACTCCAAACTTGATAAATAACTCCTTATATTTTCTTGCATAATCAATCACACGCATATTACCTTGCTCAAGAGTATGCAATTGATCAAGAAAATCATCTTGAAGATCCCTTAGACCAATTTTTTTTCTAAGAAGAGCTTTATCCTCTTCCCTAGTCAATCCACTTGTATAGGATCTCACACAACGTAAAAACATCATGGTGGAACCTTAAGCTTTGATACCAAACAGATGTAGGACAATTAGGGAAGCAGCAAATCTGGACTTTTGGGGCTGATTTTAATTAGATTTTATGGCTGAAATAGTAATAAAAGTATAGGGGACGAGTAGTGTTTGTTTAGGGTAATTAATGGGTAAGAGTTTATGCCCCGTTTGTTTTTAGAGATAGAATAGAGGGGATTAATAGTGAGGGGATTGTTAGTGAGGGGATTGATAATGAGGGGATTAATAGTGAGAAATTGTTAAATTATTTTTATGTAAAATAATAAAACAAATAAAAAATATAAAAATTAAACATTAATATTTTTAAAAAAATTCCCAATATATAAAAAATAAAAAATAAAAAAAATTTCTAATCCCCTCACTATTTTTCTAATACCATCTCTACCTCCTCACTATGAATCCCCCTTCCAAAGGTACTAGTAATACCAAGGTATTAGTAGTCCCAAGGCCATCTCTCAAAACAAACAATGTATTAGTAATACCAAGGTATTAGTAGTCCGAATCCCCTTCCTATAACCCCAAGCAAACGGGGCCTTAAGCATGAAAAGATGGGATTTTGGCACTGTTTAGGGGCTGTGAACCATACCCGTGAACAGTATTTTTGGGCTGTTAAAAGTGTAGAAAATAAAAGAAGAAAAAAGAGAAGAAGATAAGTCTAGGAGTCATAATCCCTTAGGCATCACACCTAGGGTTTGATTGCATCACAAAATCCATAAAGAAGTTTCAAAACTCTCAAAGTTTTATAAAATATCAACTCTATTAAAGTATAAGCATTGCATGGCTTTATATAGAACTAGACTTCCTAAACCAACTATAACCAAAAAAGAAACTATGATAATATCTTTGTCTTTCGAAACTAATCTAAGACTAAATAATAAATTAAAAAAAAAAGAGACTAATTAAATAACTTGACCTACAAAACTACTCATCACACAACCCATATTAGGAAATTTTGCAAATTATCAAAATACCCTTAACCTTAAAAGTCCTAGAAACATAAAAATAATCATAAAATATAACTATAATAATATTATAAACATGATTATATATCGTTCCTACAATTTCTCTTTAAAACCATTCCAATTTTCAAATATTACTGCTTATTTGAATTTACTCTTCCTTGAACTTCTTATATTCTGCATCAGCCCTTGTTTTGCTTGTTTTTTATGGTTAGCATACTTGCTTTTGTCCCCATGGTATTCTGTTGTGAATGTGTTTGTGCAGTGAAAAAAGGGGAAATAATAAATGTGCGAGTCCTAAGTGGGATTGTGCATATCTGTATCTCTCTCTGTGGAAAAATTATGAGTGTTATGCATATCTATTGCAGTGTATTATCCTCTCTTTTTGGTAGCCAAATCGAGGTGCATAAAAACATTAATTGGATGCATTTGTTTTTATTAGATCTAGGATTTTTTAAATTCATCTTAGGAAATTTCATGAGCCCCTAAGTCTTCCATTATGTCTTTCTTAATTTCACATGCATTGACAATATGAAATGTTAGTGCCCTGCAAGTAATAACGTTTTAAATCTGTCTGAAGCAACAGAGCAGGTATTTAAATTAAGTAATCTAAGTGTTCTAGTCTGAATTAACCTAACCAGGCCCAAGCATTTATAATTATGTACATGGCAACCTTGTAGAGCTTTGATTTCTTTCCCCCCAAATCCCCTCACCCCCCACCCCTCTCTCTCTCCCCTTTGGATTTTAGGTTCCTGGTCCGATTTTTGTTTTTAAGTCCTTGTTTACATTTTCTTTGTTTTACCTCTCACTAAACAACAAATTGATTCATACAAACATTTAATGCTGTTTCACAGCAGTGTGTGTTACTTGAACGAATGAAAGTTTGGTGTTTTCAGGTGTCTTGGTATTTGCATATGTGGATGTTGTAATTCAAATGTTACAATTGCACAATGGACTATGGGTAATTTACATGGATTTAATGGGTTCCCCATTTTATATAGAAATGTGGAGGTAAGAGCCCTGGAAAGTAAAATCAGAAATGGTAAACTCATGGGAAATATAATTAATTTGGAATGGTTAAATTATAATTTCACCCCAGTTTTCTTTCTATTATTGGTATGAATAGTTTTTTCACCAGAAGTGTATTTCTGAAATGTCTCAGACAACAACCAATTTTACAAGTTTTGTTTTAAATATCATTAATTATTTGGAGGTTAGATTAAATTGTTTGCAATCATGTAAAGCATCTTATTTGTCCTTAATTGGATATTAGTAATTGTTTAAGTAGATTTTGAATAATTGGTGTGCAGTAAAGCTTACGTTTTGACTTATTTGCAATGGTTCAAATCTTTGTTAAGTTAAAGTTAAATGAAGTTTCTCTTTAAAATCAAGAAAGAAATATGCAAGCTTGGTAAGTTTGGATACATGCATAAAATGTCAGGAAACACATTGCACTTATGTCTAATTATGGAACTTTTATTTTAAACTTCAATGGCACGTAAGGTTCTAGTTTGTTGAAAGTTGTTGATACTCTTTTTGTCTCATGTTTGTTCATTATTTTTCAAATCTATAATGAATAAATTTGAATTTGTGTTGTTTCTGCATTAAATCTTTAGGTCCACACTTTTCTCACCTTATACATGCTTCATAATAGATGGGCAATAAGAGTGAACCTAGTAATCTATTTAATAAACTATAAGAGAGCAACTGGTTGTAGTTTGATTATGGAAACACCAATGAGTAGACTTTCTAATACTGGCATTAGACTAACCTGGACAAGCAACCAAAATGGACACATATCATATGGGTAGAGGGAAGTTCTGGAAAAAACAATCAAAAAAAGACATGTTAATACTTAAAATGGGAGATGCCGTGATTTATAAATAATCAGAAAAAGAAGATCCGGGATCTGTCCCCTTTGGGTAATAAAATTTAAGAAAAGCCAATTGCTATGATTTAGTCATGTGTGAAAACATGATAAGTTCAAGCAGAAAGATCTTTTAACCACTAGAGGGCTCATTGTGGATCTGATGAGAAAAGCTTTCACCTCACCGTTTTCTTGGAAGATTAGGCTCCTGACACAGTGGTGCATTGACGTAGAAGATTTTAGTCCACCCCAGCAGATATAGCCTAATTGTCGAACACAATGATAATTGTCAACATATCATTCTTAATGTAGGCAGGCTGTAATGTTTTGTTTTTAGTTACTATTTTCATGTTTTGTATTTTTGTGTCATATTTTAGTATTCATCTCTATTTGATGTAAGGGCTCTTTGGTAATCTTCATTATCTGTTCCTCTCTTATCATTTATTTATTTTTTCAGACAATTCATTCAACATATATATTTACCCATTTCAGCTTTTGCATATGGAAACAACATGTGGATCTCTTCTATCTGAGCTACAGGTTTTTTCAATTTCCAAATGATTTATTGTATTTTTATACATGAAGTGCTTCTTATTCCTTTCTATAAATCTCTTTTTCTTGGGACTCATTCTTAATGACTTTTTCCCTCGTAACCTTGTTTCTAAAAATTGTCATTTTGATTAGAAAATATGGGATGAAGTTGGCGAGCCAGTGAGAGAAAAGGACAAAATGCTTCTTGAACTTGAACAAGAGTGCTTGGAGGCATATAGAAGAAAAGTGGATCAGGCAAACCAGAGTAGAGCTCAGCTGCGAAAGGCAGTTGCTGACTCTGAATCAGAACTTGCATACATCTGTTCTGTAATGGGTGAGCGACCATTACATACAAAGCAGGTTAATGGAAGACATGACTCCTTTTTTTAATTTCTTTACTTAGATACCCATTTATAATTTTAATAATTTGTTAAGATTTTTTCCAATTGATTTCACATTTTGAACAGTGTGCTGGAAGCCTGAAGAAAGAGCTTGAAGCTGTTATGCCTCTACTAGAGGAGATGCGGAAGAAAAAACTTGAGAGGAGGAGTCAGTTTGTTGAAGTTTTAGATAAAATAAAGAATATCTCAAAGGAGATGTGTATATCATTGGAAGATAATCGATGCATGGCAGTCATCAACGAGAATGATCTGTCTTTGAAAAGACTAGAAGAATTACACATTCAGTTGCATGCTCTCCAAAAGGAGAAGGTCTGATATGCAGTTTCTGTTCTTGTTCACACATTGGGAATTCTTATTGCAGTAATAATTTACTACTTGGAAATTGATTTAAAGTTTTGTGAAAATCTGGTAATCAAGTGGTAATCCTAAGGGTCAGTAAAAAATTTGTACTCAGACTGGGGAGATGACATTTAACACACTTACATGGGCTCACAAAAAAGGAGTTTTGTAATATGAAGGATTATTTCAGTTTTCATTTTTAGAAGTTACTATGAAGAATCTTCTGGGCATTCTAATAGTTCTGTTTTAAACTTACGATGAGATCTTTTCTAACTGATTTTGACAATTTTACCTGCAGAGTGACCGCCTGAAGCAGGTGCTGGACCATTTGAATACTCTGAATTCACTATGTGTGGTGCTTGGTGTGGATTTCAGGCAAACAGTTAGTGAGATTCATCCCTCTCTGGATGATTCCATTGGCACAAAAAACGTAAGTACTAAAACAATGGAAAGGTTATCCACTACAATCCAAAGGTTGCTACAGGTCAAGATTCAGAGATTGCAACAGGTTAGCATCCGTTGAAAGTTTGTGTCACTGTGAATTCTGGTCTAAATTAATTTTCTACTTGGTTTTGCTCACCCTTGAAGCTACATCAGGTTCAAGATCTTGGGACTACTATGGTGGAACTTTGGAGCCTGATGGATACCCCAGTTGAGGAGCAACTAATGTTTCAGAATGTCACAAAGAAAATAGCTGTTTCAGAAAATGAAATTACTGAGCCCAACTCTCTCTCTTTGGATTTCATCAATTATGTATGTGGTTGTGGAGTCTCTTTAAGCAGGAAATTTTATTTATGGATTTTATTTGATGCTTTGATCAACGCATCATTTGTAGTTGAGAGTTTATTGTTATATAATGTTTCTCTACAGGCTGAAGCAGAAGTCTCAAGGCTGAAACAGATGAAATCAAGCAAAATAAAGGAGGTTATTTTGAAAAAGAGGTCGGATCTCGAGGAGTTGTGCAGGAAAGCACACATGGTTGCAGAAGCACATGATGCAGTGGATTATTCAGTTGAAGCTATAGAGTCGGGTAACTGTCTGCTCCCGATTATTTTTATTCATATAGAATATTAAAACTTGTTAAATATGTGTTGATTTGTTGAGGGGAGTATATTTACTACCGAGTGACTTTTTTGAAAATTTTCCATGAGATCAACGTCAAGGATAACCTGAAAGCTGTTCGTGATTAGTAAAATACACATTATATCTTCACATCTTGATGTACAGGTTTATATACAACTTAGCTTCCCTTTTCACTTCACTTGTGTCTCATTTAAAAACTCTTCATCATTGGTAGTCTCATCACTGTTCTCTTATTAATGCAATTTTTAACCATTTTGCAGGAATCGTGGACCCCTCATATGTACTGGATCATATTGAGCTGCAGATCTCAAAGGTTAAAGAGGAAGCATTTAGTAGGAAAGACATACTCGACAAGGTTGAGAAGTGGTTGGCTGCACGTGAAGAAGAGTGCTGGCTAGAGGAGTTCAACAGGGTTGAATTATTTTGTTGCATTTGTGAACAATTTTTCAGCTCAATTTTTTCCATTCCCTGCATTGTTCTGAAATATGGTACACTATTGTAGGATGATAACCGGTTTAATTCAGGACGAGGTACTCATCTTATTTTGAAGCGCGCTGAGAAAGCTCGTGCTGTGGTTAACAAAATTCCTGGTACATGTCTTGCTTCATAGATTGCTACGAGGATTATAATGTGTACATACAAGAAACTTTCACATTTTATAACCAATGTCATTTTTATTTTAAGTATCACATACGTGACTCATCTTGTGACCTAATACATACACTGGTCAACAACACCATTGAAATTTGTTTAACACCCTGTTAATAAACCTTGGTTTGTGGGTTAGCATGCATGAAAAAAAGTTTAAAGCTTCAATTCTTATTTTCTGGACTTATCAAGAGAAAATGAATTGAGATATTTAGTAAATTGAGATTCCAAATGCAACTGAATTACTTCGGCCACATCAGTACAATATTCATGTACGTTCTTGTAGCAAAATCAGAGGCACTATAAAAATTTTAACTAGATTGGTGCACAAGTCTTGGTGTGCTTAAATACTACATTTTCATGAGTTCCATGTTTTGATTGGCCTTCAAGCAGCAATGGTGGAGGCATTGACTTCAAAAGCCACAGCTTGGGAGAGAGAAAGAGGAGTAGAGTTCTCATACGATGGTGTAAGCACTTTAGATTTAGTATTAGAATTTTTTGAAGAGTTTTCAATTTCTCATATATTAGACAAGTGTTGGCCCAAGTCACAATTTGTTTCGACTTCAGTTCCACTTAAATATGTTTGATATGCCCTATGATCTCTGTTATCGTCCAGGTTCATCTTCTTTCTATGCTTGAAAATTACACCATCTTAAAGCAAGAGAAAGAGCAGGAACGTCAAAGGGAGAGAGTATGGACCTTCTTGTTTCAACTTTCAACCACTCATGATAGATTTAAGAATTCTCCTTATGAAATCTTTTATGCCTTTGCACAAATTATTCCTATTTTAGGACCAGAAGAAGCTCGAGGGGCAGTTGCTAGCAGAACAAGAAGTGCTTTTTGGATCAAAACCAAGTCCAACAAAGAGTGGAAAGAAGGTTTCTTCTACATCTTCCTCTGGAGGTGCAAGCAGCAGAAGATTATCACTTGGAAGGGTAATGCTTCGAACCCTAAATTCTGAGAAAACTGCTCATTCTTCTCGTCTGATCAAGAAGACTAACTCTGTGAAGCAGCACAAGTCCCGAAACAACCACCGAAGTGGTAGCTCTGCAGACTTGTCTTCTGGTAATTGTTTTGAACATAAAATTTTGTTTGGTGTTATTTGTTGTTGGGGATTTGATAGAAGTCTTCATTGTCAGTTGGTTTTGGACCCCACTGCTATCCACTGCCTACAGTCATTTTTCTTGGTTGCGTTTGTTAACGTTGTCAGTTTGCTGTTTACACAAAACAGGAAACATGTTTTTAAAATAAAATAAAAAAAGAACATGGTTGTTGAGTTACCCTGAGGAGGTAGCGGTGGTGGCCAGCAGTGGTGGAGGAAGGAGGAAATGAAAACTTGTTTTGAAAACTAGTTAAAATACATGTTTCCTGATTCTAAAATTTTGAAAATTATTGCTATTTTTTTTTTGGAAATGATAGAAGTTCCCAAATGTATTTTTGTTTCAAAACAATTCCCAAAACATTACCAAAACAATAATTTTTCTCTTCCAATTAGTAAATTTTAACAGTTGGGTAATTGTATGCTGATTGTACAGTCATGAATATCCATTTACATGCTTTTGTTTGGTTCCATGTTATGGTCAGTTGGAAACAGAACAGTTCACACATATTTTTGTTTCCAGTTTTAAAAAATTTTAAAAACAGAAAACAACTATGTTTTTCTCTTCCAAGGGGTAGGATTTGAACAGTTACAGAGTAATTGCATTGACTTAATTCTGGGTAATTGTATCCACACATATATGTTGCTTGTACAGTCATGAATATCCATTTAAATGTTTTTGTTTGGTTGCATTTTGTGCTTAGCTTGAACTTTCTGGTTCAAATCTTTTTGCAGGCAAGAAAATCCCAGACACGGGTGGTCTTCAAGCGAAGCAACTGACCTACAATGCATCAAATGCACTTGAAATAAAATCACCGTTGATCCGGAAGCCCCTCTCGCCAGTAAATTCTGCATTATTGTCCAACACTGGTAATTTTCAAGGCCAAAACACAACAGAAAATGCAGCAGCGTCTCAAAAGACTCTTCCTACTAACAAAACACCAGTGTCAAGTCCGGCCAAGATTGTGTCTGCTGTTGATGATGAGAATAAAACCCCGAGGACAGTACCGGTCCCACTGCCAGCTACTCCGCCGACGGTGTCAGTTGCTATGCAGATGGTCGCAACCCCGGTGACGCCATCTGTCCCTTGTCGTGTTAAAGATGTTGAGTACTCTTTTGAGGAGAGAAGAGCCAGTTTTGTCCTTCCCACATCATATTTGAAGTCATTGCTGCCACTTTGACTCCGAAACGAATCAAAAAACAATCTTGCTTGATGCACATAAGCAACCTATTGGAATTTTACCCACCCCTCTCACATGTTGGTGGGTCTCATAATATTTTTTGTTTTTCTAATAAGTCGGATTCCTATCAGCTTGAATGGTATGGTATTCAGACCTTTGACAAAGTACAATTTGCTCCTACTGCCACTCTAGGGGGGGAGAAATCCTATTTTTTGCAATGAGTCATGTTAATTTTTACTTTAAAAATTGAACATATTCCTTTATGCCAAGTTTGTTTGATGGGATAAGGAGGTGAGCTTAAGTCGTGAGCCCCAACTGTCCTATTGTCCACACTCCTCAACAATGGGGATTAGTAGTTCAAATTCAAAATTCAAAAATAAAAAATTACTGACCTAAATAAGATCAAAGCTTCGCATTTATATTAAGAGCAAATCACAAATCAAGTGCACACACTTGGGTTTACTATACAACCCTGAAGGGTTTAAAACCAAACTAAAAACAATCTAGTGGAAAATGAAAGATTCTACCTTTGCATATAAATTTAATTTTTGTCAAAACAAAATGAGCTTTGAATAAAGGTGAAAACAGTGAAAATGAGCTTTGAATAACACTGCAACTACTGTAGAAAGAACTCTGATAATTTCAAATACAAAAATACACTGTTGCAAAAGATTGTTTATCCTAATTTACAACAAATAAATCATATTCTTGGGACATACATTCCGGTTCAATACAAGTTATAATTTATTTATTTTTTGGTCACTTGAAACGACAACCGTTCAGGGCATCATCAGTATGCATGAGTGTGGTACAATGCACAAAACTCCAACTCTGATCTCTGAGTTTTGGAGCATCTCAGATCCGCAATCATTGCAAACCTGGTAATACAAAAGACAAAAATTAGGTATTCTTGGTAAGTGAGAGGACAAAGGGCCCGTTTGGCCAGCTTAAAGAGCTGAAAGCTAATAATCAGAAACCAAAAGCTAAAAGTTATTTCTGCATTATAAGCTGTAAGTTGAAAATTATACCAAACACCCGGACATAAATTTCCAAAAGAAATGATTTATGGGGATGGGAAGAGTTAACCTATCCCTAAAATACAAGGGACACTGTTGCCAATGAAGAACATGCAATGTGCTTTCTCCAAAAAAATTACTCACGGACAATAATCTGTACCCAAATGAATGAGAACATGGATTCTTTTTCTTTTTCTTTCTTTCCCTCATGGCCATACAAAACCAATAAAACCAGCAAATCCCACAGGTCCAATTAATTGACAATTTTATCAATTAAACTCATTTTCAAAGAAGTTGTCCATCATTTATTTATCCCAAAAAAAGAAAAAAACAAAAGAAAAGCAAGTTGTCCATCTCTCACAGGTTTTATAAAAACCATTTGTTTTGTTCCTGTGCAGGGCCTGATCCTGGTCAGACCAGTCAGTGTATGGATTGATTTGCAATCTATAATGTTGTGAGGTGTCTTGCATTTTTACTATAAGAGGCTTTTTATGGAGGTTGAGGTTCAAAACTCCACCTCATTTCTCCATTTCTCACATTCAGTGTGTGAGAATGTGCAGTTGAGTTGAGAGGTTCAAAACTCTGTAATCCTTATTGTGTATAGTGAATTTGATCTCCTCACTTCCGTGGATGTAGGCACATTGCCAAACCATGTATATTTTGTGTTTTATCTGATTGCTTTATTTCTCTAATTGTTTTGTGATTGGAACCGTTCGATTTCTACATAACATATAGCATTATTCCATGGCATCTAAAATAGCACGCTACCATAGAATGTAAATAGTATCACTTTTATGTAACCAAGTATTTTGAATTTTCCTTTGTCATGACTCCATAAAGAATTGAGCATATGTTTTCAGGTTTTCACATGCCAAGGAATATGATATCGAAAATTTAATTTCCATACTAACTCCAACAAATTTAAATTAAAATGACAAATCAAATATACAAACACTTACATTGGAAACAGTCTACATAGAGCACCAATCCCTTATTGATTATATGTTACTCCAAGTCCACAATGGTCCAAATCATCCTAAATAAAAGCATAAATGTAATAAATTAATTTCACCCAAATGTTTCGAAAGACGAATAATAGCTGCATGTCTTAGGCTACATACCAGAATACGGACAAGAAGAGGAGTACCACAAGGTACACAAGCTTATAAATTCGTAGCTTCTTTTCCCAAGGCAGTTGGTTGAAGATCTCAGTTACATCTACCAAATGTTGTTTCTTAGTGTACCTGATCATGGGGTCAGCATTAGCGGCCAGCTCAAAATTTATAGAATGAAGGCTCGGGAATATGATACTTGAACAAGCCCTTCAATGTGCAATTTTTACATATATAGATCATCAAATTTAAATTAAGCCCAAACAGCAGAACATCATGGTTAAACTAAAGAATGTAAATCCCCCTAAGCATTTTTATTATCATACATTATGTAATATATAATATGTAAGTGGCATATAATGGGTTATAATGATGTTTGTAATATCTCCTATATAAGGAGTGTCATTTGGTCTTGTAAAATAAGAAGTTTTGAATATAACAGAAATATATTCCTTCTTCCTCATATTTTCGGAGTTCTTCTTCCTCATATTTTCTAAGTTGGTATCAGAGCAACAAAAAACGCAGCAACCCTAAAACCGTCATAGCCATGTCGGAAGTCACGTCCGAAACCACTTCAACCCCTGCCGCTGCCATTCCGGTGAAAACGTCCAACTCTCACTCTGTCCAAATCACCACCATCCGCCTAAATGGTGATAATTTTCTCCGCTGGTCACAATCTGTCCGGATGTATATCCGTGGGCAAGGAAAGATCGGTTACATCACTGGTGACAAGAAGGCTCCTGCTGTTAATGATCCGATGTTCGACAGTTGGGACGCTGAAAACTCCATGGTTATGACATGGTTGGTCAATTCCACGGAGGAGGATATAAGCTCTAATTACATGTGCTATACTACTGCACAAGAATTGTGGGATAATGTTAGTCAGATGTATTCTGACCTAGGAAATCAATCTCAAGTTTTCGAATTAACTTTGAAGTTGGGAGAGATTCGTCAAGGAGATGATTCCGTCACCAAATATTTAACTTTAAGAATAGTCTGTTCTGATGATAGCTGGGATTATTTCATCCTGTTATTTGTTCCGTTTATGCTTTGACACGATAAGATCTAATGATTTCTGGTATGGAACAAACTGTTGTATGGAACTAAGTGCTGCAATGCAAGTCACCTCTACAATCCGTACGAGCCATCTCTTGAGTCCATACATATATGAATTGGGCTTGAAGCCAATCTGGTCCCTTTATGGGTCATCTGGTTAAGTGGTCCCCTTATGGGTCATCTGGTTATGTGGTCCCTTTATGGGTCATCTGGGTCATCTAGTTTGTCAACATTAATGAATGTACCACGTATGATTACATGTAAATTGTGAATGTTGGCAGAAACAAATGATTATAGGTGTGTATATGAAGCTGTTATATCTGGGCCGGGGACGGGGGGG